TTCGCGCGGAAAGAACMGAGAAGGTTACACCTATAACTAAGAAACGAAATTTTCACCACATTAAAAGGAGAACATTTACTGTGCAACGTTGTTTTCAATTTTTCGATATCACAAATAGAAAAAAAGTTCTTATTGTTTCAAAATTCATTATTTTTGCATTTTTCAAAATCGAATAACTTTTTTTTCAGTTCTAATATCAAAAAAATAAAAACAACGTTGCACAGTCGAAATTCCCTTTTATCTGTGGTGAGAATTTCGTTTTTTAGTTATGACTGTAGCCTTCTCGGTTCTTTCCCGTGAAACAGTTTTTGCAATGTTACGTACTTGTAAGACGGCGACAACACATGCGGGTGTAGCGTCCTCTTCTAGTCATAGGTCATTGACRTTGCCCAGGGTGTACTACGTGGAAGCGATCTATCATTACACCCCATATTTAAAAAAATTAAATGTAAAATTTTAAAAATTAATCAAATGAAATTAAAAGTAAAATAAATGTAGTCATATTCAATATTAAAATAAAAAAATGTAAATGTAATAGGTAGTAAGTCAAAAATTGTTTTTATTAAAAATCCTTTTTTGTGGTGCCATTTTTCCTCTTTCCGATTTATTGTTTTTTGTAAGAGGAACAGTTTCAACATTGGATGCAGAAACGAATGCATGTATTGGTGCAATTAAAAAAAAATATAATAATGTGTGTATCTTTGAAAGTCGATCGACCAACTATGAGATCCTCTTTTCCATTTTGACATAAGAAAATTATTTATTTATAATAAATTGGGAATTTTTGCCATTTTTGGTCATAAATATAAAATTTGGATCAGTTTTATTCAAAGTTAAGCAAGTTTTGACCAAGTATACTAAGTATATGACTAAAAAAACAGTAAAATAAGGTAATAATTAATAATATAAATTATTATAGATTATTATTTAGAAATGTGTATACTGGTATACTCTAAATGTTATAATTATTAATTATTAAATAATTATTCTAATCAATTCAATATTATTATTATGAAATATCTTATCAAAATATACTGATAATAAATAATACGTGATAACTTAAGCTCTGATGGATAAAATAATTTGGCTCCACACAAATATTCCGCCACCGGAATTGAGGCATTAGTTGGCACGTTATTGACAGTTATTGCGCACATGACAAAATGTATATAGGCTTAGAACAATAGCCAATAGGTATGTCAGCAACATCATGACACGCAGTGGCGTGGCGAGGTAAAAGTTACATGTGGGCGAAGTGGACTTAAAGAAGCCCTTTTAAAAATTTTTTTAACTTCTGTCATATTTCTCTATGGTTAATTATAAAGCCCTATGGAACGCGAGGCCCTTTGAGGTGTGAGGCCGTGGGCAATGGCCCACACCGCCCACGCCTAGCGCCGCCACTGATGACACGCATATAATTCCCCACATTTTTCCGAGTTCCGTTCTCCGTCTCTCATTTGTCGCATATGTTATACCATGAAAATCGGAGAACTCAACACATAGGAAACAGTGGGGATACGCATACAAGATTCAAATACGTATTGTTGCTGAATACAGATATACCTCAATTATTTGTCTTGACTCTTGATTGCGCATTTCAGACATCAGACTGCACTACTGCAGTGTGCGGCGACGCCGGCGTGCGCTCGCGAAGGATGACCCACCGCCGGAGAGTTTAATTTTTAACGGAAAACTCAACTGTAGAATTTCTTGTTTTAATATTTAAATATTATTGATTAATAATTATTTTACACTMTTTATTAAAATGTTGTGTTATGTGCCTTAGCATGTCTTATTCCAAATTCCTTTAGGGAATTAGTAATTAGTGTACAGTACTATTTCGTAATCCGTTCACCGTTGTCGTTGCCCTTCTGTGGTACGTACCTACTAGCGTATTTAATTATTTTGTTCGTTAGTTAGAATTTTTAATTATAAAATTTCGTACCGGTCGTATATATGTTGAGTTGAGTCATTTTCCGTTGTCAATAACTACTTGTACAAATTGTACAGTACAATATGTGTGAGCAATAATTGTGAACATTGTGCATTTTAAATTTTGTCAATCT